AACTCACCATCATCTTCTCCTGAAAGAGAAAACAATAGGAAGGTTTTAGAAAATGCCTTACGAAGCTCCGATTCTAATCCAATTCACTGTAATGTGGGATGGAACCACACTGTGTTAAACTAATCCATTACACATGAACCTTGGTCAGTGTGTAGTTATCCTGCAAATGAAACTTCTTAATACGAACATAGGCCAAAAAGTACAAGATTCTCACGTTTCATACAATAGAGAATATCAGAGGGCAACTGAAAACCATCAGAAAGATCACTGGTTTCGATGATGAGCTCACAACTAGACAAAGTCCCTGCCTCCGTCACCACGCCCAGGACCTCCCTGCTCCCCGTGGTCTCCATAGGGGATTACTTCCGTCCTAAATGGCTGCTCCCACCGGGCTGGTGTGGCCCAGCGGTTGGGTGTCGACTCCATGCATCAAGAGGTCACAGGTTTGATTCCTGGTCGGGGCACATGCCCAGGTTTCGGGCTTGGTCCCCGGTGGTGGGTGTACAGGAGGCGGCTATCAATGATTCTCTCCCATCGATGCTTCTCTCTCTCTCCCTCTCCTTTCCTCTCTGAAGTCAGTAAAATTTATTTACTTTTTTTTTCTTTAAAAAAAAAAAAAGCGACTTCATTCTTCATGGAGCGGCCTTCTCCCTCGCCAGCCTTCTGCCTCCCTCTTTCCTGTCCCTGCTCCTTCCCTCCTCATCCCTCCAGCAGCTCCACGACTGTTGGGCTCCTCGGGAAACTGCGGATGGAGGATGACTCACGTGTCCTATCGCATTTTCCATAAAACTCCTGGCTTAGGGCCATAGCAGGTGCTCAGTAAAAACATGCTGAAATCCTGACACTTAACTCTGAGCGTTTCACATCCTTCCGATCATCCAAATTAAGCAAAATATACCACAGTGGAAAACGTGCTCACGTTAAGTCTAGTCATAAAGACATTCCATAAACGACCCCCAAAAGCATGAAAATGAATTTAAAACCCACCTCGGCTGGGGACCAGCGGGTTTAAAGGACGATAAACAGATCGAGGCCTGAAAAAACAGCAAAAGACACAAACTCAGACGTGAGACGGTTTGATCTGTCATGTGATTTTCCCAAGAGAAACCCGTCTGCCCTCCCCACACCGCTCCACCCCTCCGCCCTCCCCCGGTTACTTGAAGCAGTTTTCCTCGTAGATGCTGTTCCACACCCTCCAGGCAGACGGCCCCCTGTAGCCCGTGTAGCGCTCGGGGTTCAGCAGCAGGTCCACATACTGGGCCGCCGGGGACCTTTCGTCTGAGCGAGAGACAGGCGTGAGCTCACGGACTCGGGGGCGGCATCACAGAGCAGACAGGACGCCCGGGCCCGTCGAGACCGCACTTGGGACTGCACCTGACCCGGGACCTGGAGAGCTTGGACTTGAGAGGAGAGACCGGCCTCCTCTCTTCTGGGCGGCCATGCGGGGCCCTCGCCTCCTCAGAGGCGCCCAGTGTGTTTTCAGCGTCCCTGCCCAGGCGGGAAGACCGGGCAGAACCATCGCTTGTTTTAATAATTTCGTTTATTTCTTCCCTAGGTATATGCCTGGGTAGACACATGCTCAGAAACACCTATTTTGCTAGCATATGTTGTGTTAAAACAGAGGTCCTGCTACACTCCACTTCTGACTTACAAAGCAAATGGCCCAATCACTTGGTGATTCAAATTTCATCATTCCTAGGCTTACACAATGGTCTCGTTTTTTAAAAAATGTCACTAATTTGCCCTGGTCGGTGTGCTCGGTGGCAGTGGCTGCTGTCTTAAGGGGGTGGCAGCCGGCTCTGGCGAGGGGACATCTGAGCAGAAACCTTAAGTAAAGGAAGAGGTAAGCCAGGCATACAGACAATTACAAAACAATAAACCGAGAGGGAGGGACAGCAGCCGACCGTGAGCCGATCAATTATTTAAGAAGCTCCGATCCGATCTGCAGGGATCACCTTCCTCACAGAACAGAACACAAACGGCAGAGAGGGCCGTGTGGGTGTGCTCCAGCACCGGATGGATGCTTTAGACTCTGTTTTAACCCCGATTTTAGCTAAGCGACAGCACTCCAAGCGACTCGTAAGAGTTACGGTAAAGGCCTAATGAAGGACTTAAGCCTACTTCACACAATTCCTGCGAGTATCCTCCTACAGATAAAAGATTCAGAGTCGCCTCGATTGCCTTCCGTTAGGAGGAGGGGCCCTGCCTGCTGTCTGCCTCTCTCCAGGGGGTTCTGGGGAGAGGCCCTGGGGAGCCCACTTCAGTGCCTGCTACTGGAAGGCTCGCTGGGACCTACAGTCCAGCGTGAGCATGTGTGTAGTATGTTCACAGCCCTGTGCACCATGGAAAGGACAGTTTTTGGGTTGAGTCAGATCTGAGGGGAACCCTGTCTTGGCCTCTTGCTCCCGTGTCTCCCCCAGACGCCTCCTCAGACAGGAAGTGACCACACGTCCTGAGGGGAGAAGCTGTGAGGCGAGGGGCACGCACTGAGGGCTCGGGGTGGGGACACGGGGACAGAAGCTGCACAGAGCAGCATGCAGCGTCAGAGACCGGAGCTGCTGACATCCCGATTGGTGTCAATGTCTTGTGAACAGGTGAAAGGCAGAACAATTTAATAACGAGAGTTGATTTTATTACCATCAAGCTCACAAAAGTGATCCTGTGCGTCATCGTATCTCGCCCAGTCAATGAAGGCCTCTTTGCTCTGATTACTAGGGAGGGAGGGAGAGAGAAGGAAAGGATTAAACTTGGAGTTGACAATGACAAGAGTTTTCTCGTGTAATTAACTTCTGTGTTAGTTAGATGAGCCACAAATCCAGTTAGTGGTCACGTGCAGGAATGATGGGAGTTACATGAAAAACAGATCAATATTAATTTCCCCAGATATTAACTGCTGGTGTGCATCGCAAAACATCCCCAAGGAAGCCCAAGCAGCAGTGTGTCTTAGGTAACTCATCTGAGACAGCCTACATGCCCTCAGGAGGGGGATAAGTAGGTAAAATGTGGTCTATTTACATCACGAAAACTATTCATCCGTCAAAAGAGTGAGACCAATCTCTTTGCTTAGCATGGAAAAGTCTAGAAAGCAAAACGGGTATGTAAAATGAAACTGCGCAGAATGTGAAACACAACATTGTGTCATTTACACAAAGGAGAAATGAAATCGTCTGCACAAAACCCTGTGTGTGTGTGTGTGTGTGTGTGTGTGTGTGTTTGATAAAAACAAAACATGGCCTGGATATACGACAAACGCTTGACAGGAGTTATCGCTAAGAAAGAAGGAACGAAAACAGGGTTGTGGGCTAGCAATGGAGCATTTTAATATCTTTGATATTTCTCTTTTCTTAAAAATAGTTGTAAGAGGTAGAAAATATTAATATTTATCCATTTGGAGTGGAGGATATATGGATATATAGGTGTTTATTAGATTATCCTTTCTACTTTTCTATATTAAAATTTTTCTTTAAATACTATAAATAAAATTGCTAAATTTATTGTAAATAACAATTATAATATATATACAATATATATATATATGTATGAATAACTCTGAACAAAGAGGAAAATTAGAAAGAATTTCTGTAACATTCCATTTCCCACTCACTACATATGTTCAGTCACTTTACAATGCATAATCTGAGACTACGTACAAATTATTTATGTTGGCCTCAAAAACAGGCTTGTACTTAGAACAAATAAGGAAAACAGACAGGAAAAAATCTATGAAATTTAATGGTTAATAGTAACCTTAATCATTCAAAATGTATTACATAAATTGAAGTGCTATTTATAGAAGACTGAGAGGCTCAAGTTCCTTTTCCCATAATAATCAGGAAGAACAGCCGAAACCGGTGTGGCTCAGTGGATAGAGCGTCGGTCTGCGGACTGAAAGGTCCAGGGTTCAATTCCTGGCATGTACGTTGGTTGCGGGCACATCCCCAGTGGGGATTATGCAGGGGGCAGCTGGTCAATGTTTCTCTCAGCATTGATGTTTCTAGCTCTCTATCCCTCTCCCTTTCTCTCTGTAAAAATCAATAAAATATATATTTTTAAAAATAATAGTAATCAGGAAGAACAGCCTCATCATAGATTTTTCCTTTGTAAACAGAGGCACGATGGGTGATTTAGAGATTTAAGGCAATGGAATTTAGGTTCAAGGATACTTTCTTCCTTTAAGTTAGTTGAGCCCTGGCTGGTTTGGCTCAGTGGATAGCACACCGGCCCACACACTGAAGAGTCCTGGGTTCAGTTCCAATCAAGGGAACCTACCTTGGTTGTTCCCTTGATTGGAACTGAACCCAGGGAGTCAGGGAGCATGCAGGACGCAACCAATCAGATGTGTCTCTCTCACATCGATGTTTCTCTTGGTTTCTCCCTCTCCCTTCCACTCTCTCTAAAAATCAATGGAAAAATATCCTGAGTGAGGATTAACAAAATAAATAAATAAACAAACAAATAAATAAATAAAAATTAGTTGAGATGTTGATGTCATTACATCATAAGAAAAACAGGAAACTGCTGATATAAACATAATAGTTTTAATATTAAAACAAAGCTTACCTCAGCGTGCTGTTAACGGCTCCCAGTTTGCTGGCTTGCTCACAGTCTTCGAACTCTTTGGTGGTGTTGGCCTCTTTCGAGTACTGAAAGGAAGTTCACAATAAACAAGTCTGAGCGAAAATCACTCCCTTCCTCTTTCTTTATTTCTGGCTCAGCTGGCAGAACAGTCTGTCTCCCAGTGACAAGATAACCTAACTAGAACTACCCTATTACTGAAGTAAGTAAGAAACACAAATGAAGACGAGTCACAAATTTCTACCTAATCAATAAGCAAAGACAGGAAAACATGGTGGGAAACTACAAGTGTACGTGAGTGACACAGTAAACTGGGCATGCTCAGTATTTTAATAAAGAAGTATCCATTCCCTGCCCAGCCGGCACAGCTCAGGGGTGAGCATCGACCTATGAACCAGAAGGTCATGGTTTGATTCCCAGTCAGGGCACACGCCCGTGTTGTGGGCTCCATCCCATGTGGGGCGTGCAGGAGGCAGCCGATCAGTGATTCTCTCTCATCATTGATGTCTCTCCCTCTCTGACATCAATAAGAATAAATATATATACACATAAGAAGTAGCCATTTCCAGCCACCCCCATCGGCGCCCTCCTGTGCCCGCCCGCAGTAAGCATGTTGCCCGCAGTAAAGCAAGAGGCAGCGAAGAAGGTGACTCACCTTGTTTGCAATCCCAGCTTTAATCCCGGCGGGAATTTTACTCTTAAAAGAACAACAACAACAATTATAAGAGCAAGTTTCATTTTTTTGAGACTTCTCCACAAACTAGTAATGCTATTGCTCCACTAGAAGGAGTTTTTATTCCACCGGAGAAATGCCTGGTCATCCAATGCTGTCCAGACACGACCTCTGAGGGGAAAGGTGAGGAGCGATACCTTTCAGACAGAAACGGAACGGCACATGCAGAATCAGAGCAGCTAACAGCTCCAGCATAGACTCTCCGTGCAGTACTTAACAGTTTAGACAATTTGTAGGTTTATAAAATGACCAGATCTCTTTTTCCATAAATGTTCTTACCCCCAAAACAGAAGTTTTCAAAATTTCAAAATTTTTGAAATTGCTAGGGCTCAATTTTTATTTCTGCTCTAAACTGACACAGGTTAGGCAATTCTGGGTTAAAGCAGATGGCAGAGTAAGCTCTCTGTCCATATGATCGCCTAGAGCTTACCAAGAGAACTGCATGTAGGCTCAGCTTTTCTCTCACAAAGTCAATAACACCAATTTCCTAGTTTGGCTAATTATGTTGGGCTTAGGTAAGAGAATAATCTTGTTTTTAAGAAAATACACATTGAAATGTTTAGAGATAAAGGATCAGGCTTGTAACTTGTACCTAAGTGGTTCAGAATATACTCATACTAATATAGATAGATAGATAGATAGATAGATAGAATAATAAGGCAAATGTGATAAACATTAACATTTAGGGACTCTGAATAAGAAGTATTTGGAAAATGGAATATTGCAACTTTTCCCCTAGGTGAAATTATTTCAAACCAAAAACTTTAAAAACACACTATACTCTTAAAGGAAAATAAAGATAATATATTTTTTAAAATGTTTCCCATTAGGAAGGACATCTGTTCGGATAGTTTTGTCATACCTTTAAGGACAACAAACCACACCAACTGGCTAGGTAAGAAAAGCAAAAAGTCAAATGAAAATATAGCTCTTAACAAATTACTAATGAAAAAGAGCATAACCAATTATGCTAGATATCAGAAAACAAAATCTAAAGGTAACATTTCTTTTCTATTGTAAGAAGACCCACTGGAGACCTAATTCCAAGCCTGAATTTCCCCACTTGAGGCACTAATTGCCACTGAGGTCCACAGCATGTTCTCTGCCTGTGAAGCAAGGTGCACACTCAAGAGAGCATGCAGTGCGCGTCAGCAGGTGCAGGCCCGTCCGCCCTCGGGCGCCGGCTCTGCGTGTTACCTCTGGACAAGGCTCCACGTGGCAGTCCTTTATGGAGCAATGGCCGTCCTCCGCCCAGAACGGGCACGGCCGCTTCAGGTTGACCTGGAGGGAAGGAAAGAGGCCCCATGAGCACACGCGTCCGGCTCTGCAGGCTCTCCTCGGGGTCCCGTGCCGGGGCCCGGCCGGGGTGAGGAGCTTCCTGTCCAAGGCGCCTGAATGGCTCAGAACCAAACGTCTGCCGTGCTGCAGACTCCCCGATGTAATGTTCATGTTTAAATTAATAATAAACGACGCTCGCCCCATATGGTTTGGCTCAATGGCTAGACATCAGCCTGCGGACCGAAGGGTCCCAGGTTTGATTCCGGTCAAGGGCATGGACCTTGATTGCGAGCACATCCCCAGTAGGAACTGTGCAGGAGGCAGCTGATCGATGTTTCTCTCTCATCAAAGTTTCTAACTCTCTATCCCTCTCCCTGCCTCTCTGGAAAAAAAAAAAAAAAAAAAAAAAAAAAAAAAAAAAAAAAAAGATTTAAAAGAAAATTGAAGCTTTAAAAAACAAAAACCTGAGTTTTTTTAAATGGGTGATTAAAGTCTCATCTGTACACAGTTATATAAAAATCTTTAAAAACCGCTGGGACCGGTTTGGCTCAATGGATAGAGCGTCGGCTTGGGGACTGAAGGGTCCCGGGTTCGATTCCGGTCAAGGGCATGTACCTTGGTTGCGGGCATATCCCCAGTGGGGGGTGTGCAAGAGGCAGCTGATCGATGACTCTCTCTCATCGATGTTTCTAACTCTCTATCTCTCTCCCTTCCTCTCTGTATAAAGTCAATAAAATATATTTAAAAAAAATAAAAATAAAAAAAATAAAAATCTTTAAAAACCTTTGGTACTAACAGAATAAAAAATTATAACCATACCTTGTAATAACGGAAGTAGTCTCGCTCTTGCAACTTTTTTATTTTGGGGAAGATTTTGTAGGTGTTAAAGTTATCGATGCTCTCAATATCACACAAGCAATCATCCAGGACTCCAATGACCTGGGGGGGGAGGGGAGGGAAAAAAATATATATATATATATAAAATTCGAAATATATAAGTGATGTTTGAACCTTAACAAACCCGTGCTAGTACATAAAAAGATAATTTGTACATTCAAATTAGCCAGTATTTGCTCATTAAGACACAAAACAGCCGAAACCGGTTTGGCTCAGTGGATAGAGCGTCGGCCTGCGGACTAAAAGGTCCCGGGTTCGATTCCGGTCAAGGGCATGTACCTTGGTTGCAGACACATCCCCAGGAGGGGGTGTGCAAGAGGCAGCTAGTCGATGATTCTCTCTCACCCATGTTTCTAATTCTCTATCCCTCTCTCTCTCTGTAAAAAATCAATAAAATATATTTTAAAAAAAAAAAAGACACAAAACAAAGTAGTCCCTTTTTACTGTGGTCAGCTCAATAAAAAAACAACGCCAGGATTAGGTACACCCATTCTGAAGAACTGGACATTTCTATTTGTCTTGGTCAAAAAGAAAGATGCTGCGTGCTTTTTCCCAGGCCTGAGCAGAGATCTAACCCGTGTTCCAGCACCAACAGCTCCCCAGCACTGACCGGGCCCGAGTCCGCTCTGCTATCAGCTGGGGGCTCAGCCACATGGGGGTCCCTCTCCCCCCAGGCCCGCCCCCTGCACTGAGGGCCACTCAGCGGGCTTGCCCAGGACCCCTTCTCAGTGGGATAACCTGCTAGCAGGGCCTGCAGAGCTCAGGAGAACACTACTGATGTTTACTGGGTGCCTGTGGCGGTGACACAGTAGACTATCCAGGCACTCTGGGATGCAGTGCAGAGAGCATGATAAGGCCGTGAAAAACGAGTCTGAAAAGTGTAATCACGCCAAGACCGGTTTGGCTCAATGGATAGAGTGTCAACTTGGGGACTGAAGGGTCCCGGGTTCGATTCCGGTCAAGGGCATGTACCTTGGTTTTGGGCATATCCCCAGTGGGGGGTGTGCAAGAGGCGGCTAATCGATGACTCTCTCTCATCGACGTTTCTGACTCTCCATCTCTCTCCCTTCCTCTCTGTACAAAATTAATAAAATATATTAAGAAAAAAAAAAAAAGAAAAAGTGTCATCACTGCCTGTACTTTGTCTTAGCGAGGAGCATCAATGGCTTCAAAACACATCTCCCCGGGGGCCGGCCACCTGCGCACCGCTCCCCTCTGGGCCGTCCCGCCTCTGGGCGCAGGTGGCGCAGGTGCGAACAGCAGCACCGGCAGCTGTGGGGCCCGATTCGGCCGAGAAACGGAAAGCAAACATGTCTCTGGAGGGCAAAGATCTGCCCCCCCCCCCCATTCCCAGCAGATGCAGCGCTGCGTGTGATACACGCCTCACTCCCACCAGACTGGGAGCCCAGCCCCAGCCTCTGCCCCTTTCCCAGCCCCAGCCCCAACCCCTGCCCCTGCCCCTGCCCCAGACCCAACCCCTGCCCCTGCCCCTGCCCCAGACCCTGCCTCAGACCCTGTCCCAGACCCAACACCTGCCCCAGCCCCTGCCCCAGACCCAACACCTGCCCCTGCCCCTGCCCCAGACCCAACACCTGCCCCTGCCCCTGCCCCAGTCCCAGTCCCAGGCCCTGCCTCTGCCCCAGACCCTGCCCCAGACCCAACACCTGCCCCTGCCCCTGCCCCTGCCCCAGACCCTGTTCCAGACCCAACACCTGCCCCAGCCTCTGCCCCAGACCCAACACCTGCCCCTGCCCCTGCCCCAGACCCAACACCTGCCCCAGTCCCAGTCCCAGGCCTTGCCCCTGCCCCAGACCCAACACCTGCCCCAGTCCCAGTCCCAGGCCCTGCCCCTGCCCCAGCCCCTGCCCCAGACCCAACACCTGCCCCAGCCCCTGCCCCAGACCCAACACCTGCCCCAGTCCCAGTCCCAGGCCCTGCCCCTGCCCCAGCCCCTGCCCCAGACCCAACACCTGCCCCAGCCCCTGCCCCAGCCCCTGCCTCAGACCCTGTTCCAGACCCAACACCTGCCCCAGCCTCTGCCCCAGACACAACCCCTGCCCCTGCCCCTGCCCCTGCCCCAGCCCGCCACGTGCCCACTGGGAGAGGCACAAACCGGAGAAACGCCGTGTCCCAGCAGGTGACAGCGGGCCCTCCGGCCCAAGTTCAGGAAGTGCGGTCCCTCCGCTCCGGGCGCCGAGCCCCCAGCCCCCGGGCCCCCAGGCTCCAGGCCCCCAGGATCCGGGCCCCCCAGCCCCCGGGCCCCCCGGCTCCGGGCCCCCCGCCCCCGGGCCCTTCCCCGCAGCGGCCGTTGGGCGCCCCCGCCGCTCCCGGCGGACCCCTCGGCCCGCGCCCGCTTCCTCCCGCTCCCGCCGTCCCCCCAGCCCGGCCGCCCGGCCGCCCGGCCGCCCCGCTCACCTGGGCCTCGACGACGACGCCCCGCAGGAGGCTCAGCGCGACCAGCAGCCGCAGCGCCGCCGCCCCCCGCCCCGCGCCGGCCCGCCGGGCCGCCCGGCTCATGCTGCCCGCGGCCGGCAGGGCCCCTGGGACCCGGGGACCCGAGGGCGGCCCGGGCGACGTCCGCGGCGGGGCTGCTGCCGGCGGCGCCGGCGGCCAGAGTCCAGGGTCCGAGGCCAGAGGTCCGCGCGCGCGCCCGGCTGCGAGGGCAGCGGCGAGCGCGGGGCCCCTACCACCTCCCCCGAGGCCCCGCCCCTCCAGGCCCCGCCCCGCGCTCGGGCACGCCCCCGGGAGCGGGGCCTTGTGGGAGTTGTAGTCCCGCCCCCGGAAATTGTAGTCGCTCGCCCTTGGAGGCGGGAACCGGGGACCTGTGGCTGCAGAGGCCACGCCGCCCCTCCCTGGAACCCGGGCTTATCCGCGGGCCAATGGGACGGGACCACGCGGGCCCCAAAACACGAGGGCGCGGGCGGGGCTTAGCAGGGGCGCCCGTTCCCCCACTCCACGGTTGTCATGGAAACGCGGCCAGGCCTCCTGTGTCGTGGTTCCGGAACCCCCGCAGCGCGGGGCGCCCCAGGTTCGCTCAGCACCCACGTGCGTTAGCATCTGTGACTTTGTTTTGTTTTGTTTTGTTTTAAATATATATTTTTATTGATTTTTTTTTTTTTTTACAGAGATGGATAGAGAGTTAGAAACATCAATGATGAGAAAAACATCCATCAGCTGCCTCCTGCCCCTTCCCACTGGGGATGTGCCCGCAACCAAGGTACATGCCCTTGACCAGAATCGAACCTGGGACCCTTGAGTCCACAGGCCAATGCTCTATCCACTGAGCCACGTCGGTTTTGGCAGCATCTGTAACTTTGAATCGGGGGCGTTTGCTGTGTCTTCATTGCTGTCCTGTGGGCCTCATCCACGGCGGGGACTTCGTGGGCCACTAATCAGAAGCCCCAGACCTGATAATGGCACCCTCCGCCGGCCCCACTCCCACCCACCCCTAGGTTGGCACTTTCAAACAATGCACCTTGAAAAGAAGGGAAACAAAACTGGGACTCAAAAGAACCCTTGGCCCAGAAAGGAACTCACTACAGACTGATTCATTTGCCTCTCGGCATCAGCACTACGGCTTGTCTCAGTTTCGGTTCTTGGATCACATGATCTCACACATCTAGAGGAAATAATGGACAACATATACGGATGAGCAAAAACAGACCCAGAGACAGAGAAGCAGCGATCAGACTCTCAAACCTCAGAGGGAAAGTAGGGGAGGGTGGGGTAAGGGGGAGAGATCAACCGAAGGACTTGTGTGCATGCCTATGGGCCTGGCCAGTGGCCACGGACAACAGGGGGGTGGGGGCATGTGTGGGGAGGGGTTTGGGATGGGAATGGGGGGATGAGGACAATTATGTGATACCTAATCAATAAAATTATAAAAATAAAATAAAATTTAAAAAAAGAATGGGAACAAACCCTGAAGTTCCTAAGGAAATGTGAGAATGGAGATAAATGCACAGGAAAAACCTGGGAGTGATGTAGACAGCGCTCAGCCACTCACCTGCAGACATCTGAGCTGGTCATGGGATCCCAGACAAGTTCCTGAAGCGCTGGGTGCCTCTGTCTCCCCGCCTGTACGGGAATACCAGGGTGCTCCTCTCGGAATGTATTCCAGGGCGGATGGCCCTGGCCGGTGTGGTTCAGTGCACAGAGCATCTGCCTGCGGTCTGAAGGATCCTGGGTTCAAGACCTCCGGGTTGCTGGCTGGATCCTCAGCCCTGGTGGGAGCGCATGGGGGGATGCAACCAAAGGCTGTGTCCCTCTCACATCGATGTTCCTCTCTCTCACTCACTCCCTCTTCCCTTCCACTCGCTCTAAAAAACAATGTAAACCCTGCCCCCAATGAGACTGTTATATTAGTGTGATGTTTGATTTATAGTTTAAGGATTTAAAACAAACAAACAAATAATAATAATAATAATAATAATAATAATAAACAAAAATAAAAATCAATGGAAAGATGTCCTCAGGTGAGGATTACCATAAATAAATGATAAGGTAGTAACTCCTAATCCCATAGTATTGATCATTGAGAATTGACAGGCGGTGCTATTTGCAGGGCACTGTTCACAGGGCGGGGTGTTCTCTAACTTCCCTAGAGACAGGGTGTCCCCCCCCCAAAAAAAATGTGTACACACACTTGGCATAATTATAAAGACGGTGCTTATTAAACTGCGTTTCGTATTCAAAACCGAACTCTGGCCCGTTGCCATGTGTAGCCATTCTCCGGACACCCTGTCCCTGCCTTTGTTTGTTCTTGTTGAGCAAGTTCATCAGCCGCTGCTTATCTGAAGCCTGAACACGGCCCGCTGGGTCTCCCAGGGGCCAAAGACAACACGACTGCCCACGGCCTGGAAGGAGAGCTTCTGGGCTCACACAGGCACAGGGGAAGCGCACCAGCTCTCACAGGTGCTGGGCATCTGTCCCCCTAGCTCTCGGGGGACCCCCCTCCCTGCCCCCATGGGACAGACACAGCAGTGGGTGGGCCAGGGGCCATAAGAGGCACACACGTCAGCAGAACAAAGGAGAGTGCAGCCCTAGCCGGTTTAGCTCAGTGGGTAGAGCCTCTGCCTGAGGACTGAAGGGTCCCGGGTTCGATTCCAGTCAAGGGCACGTGCCTTGGTTGCAGGCTCGATCTCCAGCCCTGGTCCAGGCACCTGCAGGAGGCAACCAATCGATGTGTCGCTCTCACATTGATGTTTCTCTCTGTCTCTCCCTCTCCCTTCCTCTCTGAAATCAATTAAAAATATATATATTAAAAAAAAAAAAGAAAAAAAAAGAATGCTGAAACCGGTTTGGCTTGATGGATAGAGCGTCAGCCTGAGGACCAAAAGGTCCCAGGTTGGACTCCGGTCAAGGGCATGTACCTTGGTTGTGGGCACATCCCCAGTAGGGGGTGTGCAGGAGGCAGCTGGTTGATGTTTCTCTCTCATCGATGTTTCTAGTTCTCTCTCCCTCTCCCTTCCTCTCTGTAAAAAATCAATAAAATATTTTTTTTAAAAAAAGAAAAAGTAAAAGTAAAAGAGAGTGCACATGTGTTTGGCAAGGGAGACGATGCCCACTCAGGTGGCAAATCCTCAGAGCCAGGACCCCTGATCCCGGGCGAGGAAGTGCCCAGGCCCAGGCCCAGGCCCCGGGCCCCGGGCCCGACTTGCACAGCCTGTGGGTTGAAAATCTGCACTGAGACTCCTCTTAGTCTCCGTCCCCCTCACACTAACTTTGTACAAAGCGATTCCATTTCAGCGACCTGAGTCACGAATGAGCTAAGTCCCTTTTCTCACTGCCATGCCTGCCTGTCAGGAACACACACAAAATATTATTTATATATATATATATATATATATATATATATATATATATATATATATATATGTCTCAGAGAAGGGAAGGGAGAGGGAGATAGAAACATCAAGGATGAGAGAGAATCATGGACCAGCTGCCTCCTGCACGCCCCACACTGGAGATGGAGCCCACAACCCGGGCCTGTGCCCTTGACCGGGAATGTAACCATGACCTCCTGGTTCGCAGGTCGAAGATGCTCAACCACTGAGCCACACCAGTTGGCAGCCTTTGGAGTGCTTCTCCGCTGACAGGTGGTGCCATTTAACCCTCCAGCAGCCACTGGGAGCACCTGTGACCTCCTCTGCCTTCCCCTCCCTGCAGTCAGTGCCCGTGACCTTGTCCGTGACCTTTGTCTGTGACCTTGTCTCTACTTCCTGGAGGTTTATTTTTCTGTTGTACAAACCTTCTTGGTGTCGCCCTCACTGTGATGAGCCCTGGGCCCTGTGAGGAGTGGACAGGACATGGGGGATGGAGGGAAGAAGGACAGTGGGTCCAGTCAGACTGCCAACGTGCAGGTGGCCATACAGAACATGGCGATTCGCTGACGTCTTTTGCGTTATAGAAATTAGGGGCGAGGGAGGAATTGGCAGCATTTTGACTCCAGTTTTCCCAATTGTTTCGCTGGAATAGATTCTCCCCCCCCCCCCCCCCATTGATCACATTACCTATTAACGCCCAGCACTACCCCCCTATGTTTGTTATACAAACGGCTTATCCAAACCGCAGGTCACTGTGCAAACTCCTGTGGAAATGGAAACAAATCTAGCTCACCATGATCAGCGGGGAGGCTGTGAAGTGAGAATGCTTGAGAGCATCGCAGCTGAGTCAACAGTGCAGAAAAGCAGGGATACGTTCAAGATAGCTCCTCACCCTCCGCAGGCTGGCCACGTTCTTCGGCTTAATTGCTTTTAATCCCCATTACTGGTCTAAAGGAAAGGGCCCCGGGTAGATTCAGAAATCCTATCCTCCAGCAAAAACCCCCTTTGTAACAAAGGGGAAGCAGAAATCCCCTTAAAACACACACACACACACACACACACACACACACACACACAAAACCCACAATTGCCGTTGTCAGCACACCATCTACAAATACAGTTGTTTAAACAAGACAGATAGCCAGGCCTCAGCGGGTTCGGTAGTTAGTCCCCGCTCAGCGTGAAAATGACCGAGGCTGTTAAATTTCCACCCCATTACCTTGACTCTCATTTGGAACCACTCATCAGGGAGCGCCTCCTTCCTTCGTGAGAAGTCACGGCTTCACCCAGCCATCCACCCCCAGGATCGCCTGGTGCTTGGCGGTATCTGGGAAACGCCAACCCCCAGCTCACGCCGATTGCTCCCCAAGGTCTCTGGTGCGTTCTAGTCATCAACGCGAGTCCCAAGCCCTTCATTCCAAACCGTTAGCTGCAGACGCAGCAGATAGTGTTTGGGGAAAAAGCACCCCAAACTCCCGCGGTGATGGGCCTCCAGGAATTGGTCTTCACCAGCCCCCCCCCCCCCCAAACAAAGGTGCTCCCCGCTCTGTCTTTGGAGCAGTCCCCAAGCCACCTGGTCCTGAGGGAGCTGTCTTCTGAGATTAAACTGAACTCCAAATTACACTAACAAAGGAACAGCAGTCCGTTAACAACATTGACTGGCTCTTCATTGAACTGAATACCCACTAATGA